AAAAAAAAAAAAATAAAGTAAAAAAAGGAAATTTTTTTATTTAAAAAAAATGAGTCTTTTCTTTTCAACTGAGGGAAGGAAACGGAGAGAGGAGAGTAAATTGAAGATTTTTGTATTAAAACTGAGGAAGCCGAGATTCCATTGGTCCCTTTTTTGCTGTAGTTGCATAGCTGCTGAGGAAACATGAGCTATTCATCTACAATTACAATTTCATGTTTCCTTATTTCAAAAAAATCTCCTCTTTTTCTCCCTTACTAGTTTTGCTCATTTTAAGGAAAAAACCTAAGCCTTTTTAGTGAATAACCAAAAGGTAATACAAATACTGCTTTTTCTACACCATTAGATGTTATTATTCCACTCAGATTACTGTTTTGAAATTATTAATCCATCGATTAGCATTGTAGGGTAAAATACCACAACCAAAACTATTGCCTTAGAACAGCTTTTAAATGCTAGTGCTAATCGCTGAACAGCTTAGAACAATATGGTGTAAACAAAAAAAACAAATGCACCACAAAGATGTCAAAGATGAGGAACAGCTATTGAACGTCTAAGGAAAAGTAAAGATGTGCTATACTCCAAATGTAACTGTCAGAGATGTACACACAAAAGAAAAAATAAATGAAGAAATGCGTGAATGAGTGAACGATAAAAAAAAATAAACAAAAAGCAAAAGTAATTAAAAAGAAGAATTTATTCAAAATCCGATTACTTTGCAGCTAAAATATTCCTCTCCATATCCCTCACATTGCAGAGCATCGACAATGTACAGCAAAGCTGCTTTACCACCTGATAAACCTTTTAACTTTTCGTAGTTAGCAGACACCCGTTTTAAGAGATCTTCAAGAATTTGTGCACTTCGACAGATATGCTGAAAACCAAAAAAATTTTTACATTACAAATACTGTTGCTTCTGCTGCTGTATCGTAGCGATTTAAAGGATGAGAAATAGGCGGCTAAGCCAAAACATTATTTGATTTTCTTCTCAAGTATTTTTTTTTTTGACTTTCTGTCCTTCTTTTCTAAACAACTACCATTAAAAAGAGGCTAAGAAAGAAAAAAAAACAGAAAAAAAAGAAACAACAAAATAATAGAGTAAAAATAAATTTTCCTCCCTATACTGCTTTTATAGAAAACAGTTTGAATTGTTGCTGATGATGTTTTCTCTTTTTTTTTTTTTGCTTTTTCGTTTTTGCTAACAATGCATTATAACAGTGAAATTTTGAACAGACAGTGAACA